GAGAGGCCCAGGAGTCAGTTAGAGGCCTGGAGAGCAGCATTCGGCCCCGAGGTTGAGGTCCTCCCAACCCAGGCTTCCTCAAACTGAGCCCTCCAGATGATTTGAGACTACAGTTCCCATCATCCCTGACCACTGGTCCTGCTAGCTAAGGATCATGGGGGTTGTAGGCCAAAAACATCTGGAGGGCTGAGTTTGAGGAAGCTTGTCCCAACCCTTCTCAGGCCTCAGAGGCCTCAGAATACTAGTTGCTGTGAATCGCAAGCAGAGAGAGCTGGTGTTGCACTTATGTCCGGCTATGAGGCTTCCCACAGGCTGGCCCCTGTGAGAGAAGCATGCTGGGCAAGATGGGCCTGATCCAGCAGAGGTCTTCTTCTGCTGTCCTTATGCTTTGTGGTCTGCTTGTGATGTAATGCAGCCGTGCTTTCTGCCTGATGTCAAGGAGGCAAGGGAGCCGTCAGAATCCATTGCGATTCACCCTCCTTCCTCTCGAGCCATCGGCAAAGAGAGCCTGTCTGTTCTCTGACTCTGCGGCTCACCTCACCTACGTTTCCATCCTTGCTGATATCACACACCTCTCATGTGCACACGCGTGCGCACACACACACCAGCTGTGCCCCATCCCTCCCCTTTGCCCTCCTCTGCACTCTGGTTCCAAATGCATCTCCCAGTCGGCGGAGATAGAAAGGGGCATCCAAGGATTAAGTAGCTGAAGCAAGAAATAGCATTTCCCCAGCCTTGGTGCAAATGGCCCGTTCTCATTATTAATGCATTGTGTTAATGAGCTGGGGGGGGGCAGTTCAAAGGAAGGGGAAAGGGAGGGAGCAGTTCACCATCACCCTTGCAAGGAACTAGATGCGAGGGGGTGGGAAGAAACTCATTCTCTCGGTCGTCGTCCCACCTTTCCCTGTGGCCTGCAGAAAGGAAATTGGAAGCCGCAGCGAACCAGGCATGCACCAGGCTCTGGAAAAAATAAGCCCATGGAGGATTAACCTTGATAATAAGGATGCCAACCTGAATAAAATATTGGGGAGGGAGAGGTACACCCCACCCCACATAATCTATCACAAGACATAGTGCATGCACAATATTTGAATAGCAATGCCCAGCAACTTGGAGGGGGGACCTGGCCCCCTCAAATATTTTATTGGGGGGCCCTCAGCCCCTAGGAATGGGCTCCTATGCCTGATGGTTATTATTACAGTGGTACCTCAGGTTAAGTACTTAATTTGTTCCGGAGGTCCGTTCTTAACCTGAAACTGTTCTTAACCTGAAGCACCACTTTAGCTAATGGGGCCTCCCGCTGCCACCGGAGCACGATTTCTGTTCTCATCCTGAAGCAAAGTTCTTAACCCAAGGTACTATTTCTGGGTTAGCGGAGTCTGTAACCTGAAGCGTATGTAACCTGAAGCATATGTAACCCAAGGTACCACTGTATTATTATTATTATTATTATTATTATTATTATTAACCTGACCCAGCAGGCTCCTCTTGTGCTCATATTTAGAACACGCAGGATGAAACCCTTCTTTGCAGGCATTAGCTAACCTTTGGAGCTCACTGTTGCAAGATGTCATGATGCCCCCCAGCTAAAAGGGGATTAGACCAGACTGCATAGGAGAAGGATATTTGTGGCTATTAGGACCACCTATGGGAGGGAGCTCCTGCCTTCATGTCCTGTTTTCTGGGCTTCCTAGTGACCATGGTGGGAAATGTGATAGTCCTCAGCAGGGCTCTTCATGCATCCTTATCTCCAGTAAGTGTCCTGATCAACAAGAAGGTCTCAAAGTTGGAGGGAAACCACTGAAATGGTGCAGACACTATCAAAGGTTTATCAGAGGAGCACTGGTGAGCAGTCCGACATGAGTTGAGTTCAGACTCGGTCTTTGTCAGAAGTCTCCACCTACCTTTTCCTGGTAACAAACATTTCCTACTTTGCTGGGTGAGAAAGGGAAGGAAGCTGTTGTGGACAAAATGGACTGTTTCAAGAAGTGGCAGAGAAATATTTCTAGATTTGTCTGGCAGGGCAAGAAGCCTAGAATAAAATTTAAAATACTAACAGATGTAAAGGAAAGAGGTGGATTCGCCCTGCCAGACTTTAAACTTTACTATGAATCAGCAGCTTTTTGCTGGTTGAAAGAATGGCTGCTTCTTGAAAACACAGACATTTTGGATTTAGAAGGTTTTAACAATGTATTTGGATGGCATGCATATCTGTGGTATGATAAGGTCAAAGCACATAAAGCATTTAAAAACCACATTGTCAGGAAAGCATTGTTTAATGTTTGGATAAGATATAAGGACTTATTGGAAAACAAAACCCCAAGGTGGCTGTCACCAATGGAAGCGAAAGCTCAGAAAAAGCTCAATATGGAGGTCAAATGGCCAAAATATTGGGAAATTTTGGAACAACATGGAGATAGATTGAAACTGCAGAGTTTTGAGAAATTAGAAAACAAAGTGCTAGACTGGCTTCATTATTATCAGATAATGGAGGCATATAATTTGGACAAGAAAATTGGCTTCCAGGTGGAAAAATCAAAATTAGAAACAGAACTGTTAGAACCCAAAACTAAGATTTTGTCAAAGATGTATAACTTGCTGTTGAAATGGAATACTCAGGATGAAACGGTGAAATCTGCTATGATTAAATGGGCACAAGATGTTGGACATAACATAATGATGGCTGACTGGGAACCGTTATGGACCACAGGTATGAAGTTTACGGCATGTAATGCCTTAAGAGAGAATATTATGAAAATGATATACAGGTGGTACATGACACCAGTCAAGCTTGCAAAAATCTATCATTTGCCCGATAATAAATGTTGGAAATGTAAAGAAACTGAAGGTACATTCTTTCACCTTTGGTGGACGTGCCCAAGGATTAAGGCTTTCTGGGAGATGATCTATAACGAAATGAAAAAGGTATTTAAATATACCTTTCTGAAGAAACCAGAGGCCTTTCTCCTAGGCATAGTCGGCCAATTGGTGTTAAAGAAGGATAGAACTTTCTTTATGTATGCCACAACAGCAGCAAGAATACTTATTGCAAAGTATTGGAAGACACAAGACCTACCCACTCTGGAAGAATGGCAGATGAAGGTGATGAACTACATGGAATTGGCGGAAATGACTGGCAGAATCCGAGACCAGGGAGAAGAGTTGGTGGATGAAGATTGGAAGAAATTTAAGGCCTATTTACAGAAATACTGCAAAATTAATGAATGTTAGAATGATGTTAGAATGAAGTTAGGTGGTTTAAGCAGTAATGCTATAAAGGTTTATGAAAAAATGGATTGATAACAGGTGAAAATTCAAAGCTATAGTATATTAAGTTAAAGGATTAAGAGAAAATAAAGAGGGAAAGAAATTGCTGAATTAACTAACTGAACTGGAATACAAAAAAGGGAGGTATGAGGGGGTCAGGGAAATAAGGATATGAATGTAAGGTATAGAAAGATTGATGTATTTTTTTTAAAGTGTTTTTTCATTCCTTTATTCTGTATTTTGTATTTTTCCTGTATTTTTACTTCTGTTTATTATTTTTGGGGGTTTTTTTGTTTTTTTCTCCTCTTCTTTATGTAATTCCTCTTTCTGAAATTTTAATAAATATCATTTAAAAAAAAAAAGAAAGGGAAGGAAGCTGCTGCCTGTGATGGTTGTATACTGGAGGTGTACATGGAGTCTGTACAGAATCAAGGGCACAAGTCTAACCAGGGTGCCTTGGGGCGTTAACTGTTTCTACTTGCAACCTTAGCAAACCCCTTGCCCCAAGTGGAGCAAGCAGTTCTCGCTCTCTCACCCCAGTCACCCCAAACTCCTGCAGATTTCTGTTTTTCTTAAACTCCAATGCAAAGCTGTCTATAAGGGGAACACCCTGGTATGGAACAGGAGAGAAGGAGAAGGGATAGCTCAGTTTGATGGACAGGTCTAGATTATAATCATAGGGGATTATTTTACCTCTCCAATCACACGTTGACAGAAATAGTTTGTTTCATGTGCTCACTCGTTGCTCTTTTGCCAGCTTTTCTTCTTCGCTTTTCGGAACACGGCACTTTGCAGAATGGTAGATCTGCTGGTGTCCCTCCTGCCTTTTCCTGTTGCTTTCCATTTACCAATAAAGAATGCAGCTAATTTAATTATTTCATTTTTAATTCTGTTTCTTTTCCTCTTGGTTTTTTTTTTCTGGTTTGTGTCTGTGCCAAGCTTCAGTGCGAGAGAGTTGAGTATAATACTGTTTTTATTTTTTCTCTACGTACTGCATTTATACTCCCACCTTTTTCCTCCAAGGTGGTGGACACAGTTCTCCCCATCCTCATTTAGACCCCAAAACAACCCTGTGAGGTAGGTTAGGCTGAGAGAGGCGGCGACTTGCCTAAGGTTACCCATGACCTTCATAGACAAATGGGCATTTGAACTCTGGTCTCCCAGGTCCTAGACTGACTCTAGCCACTACATCACACTGCTTACAGTATAGTATTTAGCATATAATCAGAGACACGGGTGGTTCTATGGTCTAAACCAGGCATAGGCAAACTTGACCCTCCAGATGTTTTGGGACTACAACTCCCATCATCCCTGACCACTGGTCCTGTTAGCTAGGGATGGTGGAAGTTGTAGTCCCAAAACATCTGGAGGGCCGAGTTTGCCTATGCCTGGTCTAAACCACCAAGCCTCTTGGCTTGCCAACCATAAAGTTAGCAGTTCGAATCCACACGACGGGGTGAGCTCCCATTGCTCTGTCCCAGCTCCTGCCAACCTAGCAGTTCAAAAGCATACCAGCGCGAGTAGATGAACAGGTACCACTGCAGCGGGAAGGTAAATGGCGTTTCTGTGCGCTCCGGCATTCATCACAGTGTCCTGTGTTGCAGAAGCGGTTTAGTCATGCTGGGCACATGACCCGGAAAGTTGTCTGTAGACAAATGCCGGCTCCCCCCATTCCTCATCTGTGCAGCCCTACTCAGCATGGTCCCTGACAGCATATAACTATGGAGACTAGTAGCTGTCGATAACGTATGTGCGAGTAGAGCCCTGGTGGGTCAGGCCAAAGGAGACCCACCTAGTCCAGGATCTTGTTCTCACAGTGAGCAACCAAATGCCTCCGGGAATCCTCCAAGCAGGAATGCCAACAGCAACTCTCCCCACTTGTGGTTCCTGGCAGCTGCTTTTCAGAGGCCTTCTGCCGTTGTCCAAAACTATAAGAAAAGAGACAGAGTCAGCAGTGTAAAAAATCAGGGAAATGTTGTCTGCCTCCTAAAATGAAAGGTTGCAAGAATAAAAAGTTTCCTACCTTTGGTCTGATCCAAGAGGGCTTTTCTCTCTTTTTATTCCTAAGTGGCTTTCCGAAACCTTGTTATTGTACCTGCTGGTGCAAGAAAGGTCTTCGGGTTCCAGTGCACTCATCCTCCTCCCAGGATCTTTAGAAATTAAATCTCTCTGCGGAGCGAAGAGCAGCCACATCTGTACTCCAGTGGGCACCTAAATATATACATTGGGGAGGAGGTGCCAGATTCCAGTCACCTGACGCTTTTCTGAGTTCCAACCCCTCATCCCAATGAAACCACCCAAGGAGGGCAGAGCATGCCCACAGCCCACAGACTGAATTGTAGAGCTGAAAAACAGGAAGGGACCCCCAAGGGCAATCTAGTCCAACCCCCTGCAATGCAGGAATTACAGCTGAAGAACCACTGGCAAGTGGCCACCCAATCTCTGTTGGAAAAACCTCCAATGAAGGAGACTTCGCCACCTTCCGTGGCTGCAGGAATGGAAACAACATAACTGGGAAGGAGAAGGGAAGCAAAGAACCTTGAAAACGATGAGCGAGACACATTCATTTATTTAGGGCAGGGGTCAGCAAACTTTTTGGGGAGGGGGCCAGTTCACCATCCCCCAGACACGCAGGACAGCACGTGTGTGTGCCCATACACACAGCAGAGGGGGCCTCTCTCTTTCTCCCCCTCTCTCCCCCAACCTCTGCCCTCCCTCTCCCTACCTCCACTGTTGCTCTGCCTGCGGTTGGGAGGTGGCGGCGGCAGCGCCTCTCCTTTTTGGGCCAGTGGGGCCAGCAGGCGCACCAAGCTCCAGCCCACAGGGCAGCCATGGGGAGAGGCCAGCGGGTAGGCAACAAGGCTTCCTATCAAAGCCTAGCCCCCTTCCTCCGCAGGGTGGGGATAAGCCAGGAAGAGGGAGGAGACGCCACCACAGTGAGGGGGGGGGTCGCAAAAAAATAGCACCCAGGAAAAAATTTGGAAAGGAAAAAAAATGGTAATCGTGCCAATCCAAGCGGCGATTGCAGAACCGTTCATGGGCAGGATCCAGAGGGCAATTGGGCCAGATCTGGCCCATGGACCTTAGTTTGCCGACCCCTGATTTAGGGTGTTTGAACGCCACTTTTCAAACACGCAAGAGTCTTAATAGCACAAGGATGGAAGAATGGAGGAAATCCCGACTAAAGAACTATGGCAAAAGAAACTGATGGACTGCAGAATTAGCAAAATTGACACACAAACTACACGACAAGGATAACTGTGATTTTAAAGATGAATGGGAACCCTTTACAAAGTATTTAAAGAAACAGCAAAATGAACTGGACTCCTTGGCAGGCTTTGAATAAACATTCACAAACTTTTTATTGATAACATTCAGATAAAAGATCTGTACAGTTTTGTAACATGCAGAAAACAACAAAGGTTGATAAACCAGAGAGAGGAGCTGAGGGAAGTCTGGGGGGGAGGGGTGGGTGGGTTATGTTTCTGGGGAGGGGGAAGGGAAAAAACAGAGGGGGGGATTTAAGGATGAGATGTTTTTTGACAAAATGTGATGTTGAAATAACTAATAAAAAATAATTTTAAAAAAATGAATGTCACTCTTCAGCCAAAAAGGTTCCTAGAGCAGATTACGTACAATCAATAAAATCAAGGCGGTCCCAGCCTGACAGGCTCACAGTCAAAAGAACATGGCACACAAGGGAAGCAGGACGGGGAGGGGAGAGGAAAAAATCACACCCAGGCACCAGTTCTTAAATAAGTGGATCCTACCATGACCATCTGGCATAGAAACAGTTCAGGAGTAGGGGGTGCCTGATGGAGCCGGTCTCTCAGCAAAGCGGAGGGAATGAGCCCTCATCTCTCCCACCGAGGCAGCCTGATGGAATGACAGCTGCCAGGTGACAGTTGAGGGGGGTTGATGGAGCTGGGACATCGATATAAAACTCCAGAGAGAAACCTCTCATTACCTGGATTGTTCATGTCCTGCTCTGCCCTGAGAAGCTATTTTTAAATGTCCCCTAGGTGGAAGGGACAGCTGCCCATAATAATCAATAGAGAAAGCCAACCTTTTAACATAGCAAGGATCAGATGGATACCAGTATCCGATCGGAAACGCAGGTATTTGGTCAGCCACTGCAAGAACAGGATGCGAGACTAGATGGCCCATGGGTCTGATCCTGCAAGGTTGTTGCGTTCTCATGTTATTGATCCCTTCATGGGGTGGGGAAGCTCAGTGGAGAGTGTGCATACTAACTGAACACAGAAAGCTGAGCAACTGTAAGGGTCAGGGGACAGAAAACCAGAGGCAGGGGCGTAGGAGGAGGGGCGGACTGCCCCGGGTGCCCTCACTGAGGGGGGTGACATACGGCGCACCACCCACCCACGACTCCCAAGCCTACCCCGAGCCGTCGGGGTAAGGGGGGAGCTGCACAGCTTTGCCAGCAGCATTCCCCCTTATTTTGACAGCTTGGGGGAGGCTTGGGAGTCGCTATCCTGAGCCTGGGAGGGCACCCTCCATACCAGGCCCCCCTCAGGAGCGCGCCCACCCTGGGCAGCACGGACATATGTTCCACCACTGACCAGAGGAAGTGGAATGGGGTAGCTGAAACCCTGAACAGAAGCTCTCCACACACACTCCAGGGCCCCACCTATATATCTCATCATCGTTAGATGAATGAATGGTGCGTGTCTTTTATTGAATAGCCTCCAAGGCCATTACAATTTCAGTATAAAGCAGCAGCATACAAAGGAAACAAAGATTATGCACACGCCTTACATCATGCACAGCAAGAATAAATGGTATCAAACAAGGCAGTCATACGAACAATCAATACAATTTTTTATTTACACAACTTCCCCTTATCCTTGCGGGCTGCAAGAGCAAATTTGGCAACAGCCCTTGCAATATAACTTTTGTTCACCTTCTAATGCTTTAAAAACCTAATCAACTTGCAAGTAGGCTTCTTTCGAGTCAGCTGAAGTTTCCCCTGGCACAGTGTGCTCTCTCGCTATTAATGGCTGAAACAGATAGGGATAGCATGGGCCGCCCCATTGACTCGGCTGGAACCAGCAGCCATTTGGCTCCTCCCCTGTCAGAACCGCCTCCACCAGTGGCCAATGGTCATTTTACCTAGATGCATCTGAGGAAGAGGTGAGAAGGAGACAAAGAAGAGTTTGGATTTGATATCCTGCTTTATCACTACCTGAAGGAGTCTCAAAGCAGCTAACATTCTCCTTTCCCTTCCTCCCCCACAACAAACACTCTGTGAGGTGAGTGGGGCTGAGAGATTTCAGAGAAGTGTGACTAGCCCAAGGTCACCCAGCAGCTGCATGTGGAGGAGCGGAGACGCGAACCCAGTTCACCATATTACAAGTCTACCGCTCTTAACTACTACACCACACTGGCTCCATCCGCCAGCCTGACCAGGACTAGCTGCCATTCTGCTCAGACCCACATCTGGGATTTTGGAGGACCTTGGATGGTCTGCCCTCAGTAGAACCCTCAGGACGCCCAAGTACCCACTGCCCCTTGGACCTCCAAGTGGTGACACAGCTACAGCTTTTCTCCTCAAGCCATCCTACCCCAACATCCTCCCTGGCTGGGATTTTGTGAGCAACAAGCTTTTCCCTGGTTCATATACGGTCCTTGGCTCTGACCCCTTGGCTCGATTCCATGTTCTCAGCTCCCTGTTTGAAATCAACACCCTTGACATGGTTGGCAAAAGGAAGTCCTCCTTGATCTGGCAGAAAACGTATGGCATGCACCACTGCAAGATGTCAGGACTAGCTTAGGTGTTCTCAATAAAGGATTAGAGTCAGATCAATGGAGGAGGAGGTCTACCAAGAGGTAGAAGCCGCATGTCAGAGCTAAGCCATAAGTCATCCCTGAGTAGAAGCCAGAGACAGTCAAAAACTATCACTGTCCAGGCAACAACCTGCAACGACGTAAGAGTTTGCTGGATCAGACCAAAGTCTCATCTAGTCCAGCATCCTGCTTCCCACGGTTAGGGGCAGCCCATCCTGTTTTGCCGCCTGAGGCAAAATGGGAAGCTGCTGCCAGACCCTCATTGCCGCCCCTGCTGAAGCCTCACTTACCAGAGTGGCACAGCTGCAGCTTCCAGGTTTTTGGTCCAGCAATACTTGCAGCCGTTGGTCTCTAACTATGCACTGTGTGAAGTGCTTTCTCTTGTCTGTCCTGAGTCTGAAAGGGAAGGCTTCATGCCTCTTCCTTAAGCTTATCATACCATTATTATTTATTATTATTTATTATTCAATTCATGTACCGCCCTTTATCAGAAGATCCCAGAGCGGTGAACAACTTTTAAAACACATTATGGGCAGTGGCGGAGCTTCAGGCCCTGGCACCGGGGGGTGGAGAGCAGGTGGGGGCGGGGCTGGCACACACCTGGGGGCGGGGCATGCGTCCTGGGGGCACACACTATGCAAACATCACAACGCAGGGCAAACCATGAAGCCTTTACAAAGCTGCATCCTTATTTCAGTCAGTCTAACAGGGAGGATGGGAATCATAGTCCAACAATATCTGGAGATACACAGGCTCCAGTTCTGGCTAAGGGTGAGCGAATCTGTCAATTTAATTTTCTTCCCACTCTTCCCATCTCCACATTTCCACACCAGTCTGCAATTTCAGGCCCCCCAAAATCCTCACGGAAATTCATCGGCATTATAGCACAGGTTTCTCCATCACAATTTTCAATGCAATTTCCCTAATTTAACCCATTCTTGCCTTTATTTTCACTCCTATCTGCATTTTAATGTACCTAACCTAAGCATGCCTGGACACATTACCAGGCTCGAGAATTACATTGCAAAATTCAGAAAAAAATGTGAATTTTGAAGAATGGCTACATTTTCGGTCTGCGTATTGTTTCAGGAAGTCTGAGTTACAGAATTTTGCCTCTCAATGTGACCTAAAGTGAATTTCTCTTGCATCCCTTGCTTTTAGCCCTGGTTGACTTCTAATGCTATAGAACCTCCATATACCAAGGCAGAATAACTTAACGCTGGGCACAGAAA